TAAACCCAGCTCGCCAGGTCGCTAACCTCACGCGACGAGCTGGGTTTAATCCCAGCTCGCCAGGAGCCTTTACCCGACGAGCTGGGTTTAATCCCAGCTTGCCAGGAGCTCCTCCCGACAAGCTGGGTTTAATTCTAGCTCGCCAGGAGCTCCTCCCGACTGGCTGGGATTAAACAGCAGAGAGCATTGGAGCCTCCCCAAGGCAGGGTGGAAAGTGCGGAAACCGCGGAAAATACAGCGCTGTATTTTATTGCTGATTCTCTGGCTGTATTCTCTCATGTAGTGAGCCATGTGTTTCAAGATCCAAAAGCGGTAAGGTCTTTCCCACCACACGATCCAAAAAGGGAATTTCTTTCCCACTGCATGTTGTCTCATCCATAAAGCAAAAAAATTGATTCACAGAATGGCAACCCTTAAGAATGGTTGTTCTACTTTTTTGAGAGGGAATCCTTCTTCCAGTCCTCAAAGATGATGTCTGGACAGATTAACATCTCTGCTCCTGTAAAAACTTACATCAGCAATAGACACTGTCTACAAATACATCCCCTGCCCCCTCCAATAGTTGGACATCTCACTGGACTGACCTGCCCAGAATGCCCAATCAACTACACTAGTCAACTGCGATACCATCCCCCACGCTTTCCAAACCCGGCAAAAATCAACTGGCAGGTATGTTGAAATACTCCAGTTGATCTTTGTCACTTCGTTTGCTGACTCAAATTTCATGATCACCTCTAGTGTCACAAGCCCAACTCTCACCACAGGAATGGAAAGGGTTATATTAGAACCTCGGGTGCTTATTTGAAGGCTTGGAATAGTCGCTTATTTGAACGCTTGGAATAGTCCCTTATTTGAACGCTTGTAATAGTTGTGCTTATTTGAAGGCTCAGAAGAGTTGTGCTTACTTTACCAACAATCCTTATTATATTATATGAAATATAGCTTCCACCAAGTAGTATGTACATATGAGGAAACTTGACAAACACCAGTCCACAACCCGCCTCCCAATATGGACTGACCTCTTGGTCTGTACAGCCCAGTACAAATTCTGCACTTACCAGATGCGCATGGAAATATTCTGCACTTCACGCAGGCTCCGATTCTTTGAAACAGCAGCTCCCCCCAAAAAGATGGGTTTCAAATCAGCTTGCCAGCAGCTCCTCCCTACAAGCTGGGTTTCAAACCAGCTTTTCTGGGGGTGCAGCATAGTCTCATGTCAGATCATGTGTAATCCAGAGACTGTACTGCATTGGGAGGGCCTCCTCCTGAAGAGCTGTGCTTAATCCCAGATCTCCAGGATCTCCTCCCAACAAGCTGGATTTATTCTCATGTGAGTGATGAATTCAATCTGATTTGGCCAAAATGCAGGGAAAATACTGAGGATTCATAAAACAGCTAGGCAGCCTGTGGTAGTAGCTGGCAGATGAGCTATTACAAAAACAGAACCTCTCCAGAAAAGCTAAACTTTCTTCTCCTGCTTAGATATTAATTTTATCCTTTGCACCCAGTGCCAATGCTACACATCAAGCCTTCCACCAGGGAGGACTTGTTTTAAGTTAGGGACACCCCAAGCTTGCAAAAGGCAAAGGAAAAAAGGAGCGGTGCACGGGTCAGTTCCTGTTAATGTTGGTTAAGCCCATGTTGGATGATGATAAATCAAATTTTTGTGATCCTTAATGAGAGACATTTTTCCTGTATAAAATGAGTTAATTGTACATTTTTCGCTTATATGGAAAAATTTAGAGGAAGTTAACTTTTTAAATTAATTAACGGCTACGTTGATGCTGAGGGTGTTATTTTACAATGCTAGAGGAATGTTTTTTTTTTGCAAATATCTAGTACTTCAGGTTTCAGATCAAATTAATTGATCTGAGAATATCTAAATCTACCATTAATTTCAAGATCTGGAGGTCTTGGAATCTTTTTTCTGCAGGGGCGGTAGAAAAATTCATTCTGCACTGATTCTTTTTATTATTTCTGTCCATGGGAAGTGAAGTAGATAACTCATCAGTTGAGGAAACTCTGGTGACTTTTATAATATTTTATTGTGAATTTCGTATGAATGTTGAGTGAATGATGAGGGAGAATCAGTTCCCAACATTGTGAAAAACGTTTGAATTTCAGGTTGTTGACCGGAGTGATTTTTTGAGAAACTGTTCTGATTTTATGGTGACATGCAGTCACTGGTCAACCAGTGCCCAGATATTTCCCCTGGTGTTTCCCAGCGAGGGTTGCGGTCAAGATCACGATGGATAAACCGACCCGTCTGGCTTATGAGGAGGCCATGAGGGCTCATGTGAGATCCTTGTTCCTTATTTTTTACTCAAATAAATACCCTCTGGCCCAAACTGACCATATGCGCACTTTAACTCATCCGCCTTTTCAGTTTCAACATCATTGTCAAATTGCCAAAGCGATCAATAGCATCAGAGTGCACGCCTCAGTCACCTCGCTCACCAGTTTGACTGTTGTGCACCCCGATCATCCCCAGCAGGTCATGGAAGTTCTGACGAAGAGCTTGCCTGAATGGGCCGAGGCCATTGTCGCCAATCACCCCGAAGTCACCACTCGGATGCCCCCCCAGACCTCCAACTTTGTCTGGGTTGATGGTCGCAAGCGACGGACCGCTCATTCATTGGACGCCCCACCCAGCAAGCGCAACACTGGTCCTGAATTCACAACCCCTCCAAACAGGACCGCGGCGACGGGGCCTCGCTTGAGCCCGAGCGACGTGGATGACATTGAAGTCATCCAGATATCCTTGGGGACGGCCGCCACCTCGAACCACACCGAGCCGATGGCCCCTGCCTCTCCGGAGTTAGAGAGTCATCACATGGAGACGTATCTCCATGTGGCACATATTCACAAAGGAGACAAGCTTACTCGGGCGCGCTTGTTAAATCACGGAATTGTGCATTGGTCGTTCTTCAGAAGCTCCTCCGAGGTCGAACTGATCGGCCTCGGCTTCCCTATAGGCACTGCTCAATTGCTCATCGAAGGAGCTGCGAGACTGGAGAGGTTCGATCACGTTGAGGGCGCTTATACTGGTGGAATGACTCCATCTCCTTCCCCGTTGGTTTGAGATTAGGAGTTCAAACTCAAAAGTCGCTTGTGAACCAAGTGTATGATATGTTGCAATGTTTGTTTTCAGATGCTTGTTTGTATAAAGCCGCCTAGCATGCCATTGTTTCATCCATATTCCCTCCTGAATCACCGACATCGTTTCTTCTCCTCTTGCTTGAATTTTCCTCTTGTCTGATAGACCAACCACTTGACTCATGTCTGTTTGCTCATAAGAATGTCAGATTGATTCCTCAGAAGTAATGACAACAAGCATCTCGCCTGTTTAGACAGAGTGAGTCGATCACATTCCCAAATAACCAAATTGGAGGTGATGTGGCACCAAGCCACACCTTCAGTTTGCTTACTCGCACTTAACCAGTGTGTAGTGACCAGTCAGTCTGAGCTACATAATGCTTAATGAATGTGCCAATAGTATGTGGGACATATGTATTACTATTTCATGTCCACATACCAGGAGGTCTCGAGCGTGAGAAAGAAACACAACAGAGAGCACAAATACAAGTAGGTACCCGGTAGACAAACATGAGGAGAGCAGTCAACCCCAGGGAAGAAACCATGGAAAAAAAAAGACAAACATGATATACGATCACCTCAGACCGGTGTAGCAGAGAAAAAAGAAGAGCTAAGATGAGTTGATGAGGAATTGCTCATACTTTGCGGTGTTGTCATACAAAGCGGTGACAACACCAATCGTGAGTCCAAGACTGAGCACTTCTGGTCGGGCAAGAGACAAACCCGGCCAAAATAATTTGTGCGAGTGGGTGTCGTTGGCCATGAGCACATCGACCACCCGATCGAGGTTCTGAACGTTCAAGAACCGCAAGTATTCCACAATGGGAGTTTCAGTGTCACCCTGGAACAACAACCCATCCGACCCTGGCGGAGCATCAACATCCTTAGCACTGGCCTTACGGACCTCGGCAAATGCCTCGACCATCATGCGACACCAAGTCGCCTTATTGTCTGAGTTGGACTCAGGGGTCTGGCTTGCCTTCATCTTCTTCCTGGGCGACCCCAAATCCTCCCATGTGAGCTTCTTCGGGGGACTCATCATATTCCGGCTGTTTGTCGTCCAACTGGATGATAAAAGCCCAGCCCCAATAAGAATCAGTGTCGGCAACCCCCAAGGCCCAACATGAGAACGGAAATACTCACAATGGCCAATGCCCACTCTTGGCATGCCTCCATGGTCAATAATAAGAACCTCCTGGCGACAGTTGGGTGTAGGAAAACCGGGATATGTGCATTGTATTCACGGTTGATCGGATTGGCGTCAAAAATAGCCCGCATGTGGAAGTCTATGTCGTTCCAGTCCTCCGGATTGATTTCTTCGTCATCATCCTCACTCAAATCCTCGTCAAAAACCTCGCCCGCCTTACGCTTCGCAGTCTTCTTAAGAGCAATTGCCTTTTTGAGCTTCGCACGTTTGGCTAGTATATCAGCCTGCTTGCCACGTTTAACTATGTCGGCCGGGTTGGCCATTCGGAGAGCCAAGGCAACGGAGAGGTCTTTCTTCTTGCAAGCCATCATGGCCCCAATCCAAGCGTTGTAGGAGTTGGAATCCGTAAGCGTCTTTGCATCAGCTTTGAGCCAGCCCTTCACACAACTAATGGTCACGTTCCAGATGAGGTCCGGCCTATTCTCGGCCACAATATCACCAGAATTTGGGACCGCCACATCACACGCCGCTGCTACCATGTCTTGGAACTCTTCGTAGCCAGTGTTACTGGGGACAACTGTGACCAAGAAATTGTCCTTTGACGTTACCTGGACCCAAAATTTTTTTTCTGCTTGCTTTTGCTTGCAACATATAGTTTGAGCGAAGTATTTATAATGATTTCCTGATAACAAGCAAGAACAACAAATTAATTACCATAATGCAGAGAAGCAATGAGCAAAAGAGAGTGTACCCTAATTGCAGCCGGACCAATGCCAACCTCCGGTTGACCCACATTATTCCCAGGCACCTGATCCCTCAGATGAGTAGTACTAGGCGTTGACTATGAAACCATCAAAATATCTTCAGTCGAGATCATTGTTAGTCGAAAACACATAGAATAATGACCAAAAGATGGAGGTATCGTTGAGAAGAAGGAGAATGACACAGAAAAAAAAATCAAAATCCGGAATAGGTGGTGGGTCAGGTGTATTGCAGCACAAATGGCTGATATGGTGGGAAAATGAAGTGCAGAGAGTGAGCCGTCAGCTACTTCCTGCAAGCTAGGAAACACAAATACGACATATGACGTCAATGTACGTGGGATAATCCTGTGTCTTGCGAGGTTTCTATTGATGGCAAAAAACCCCGGAAAAAAAAAGAAAAAAAAACCAAATGCATATGTTTCAAAGATTACAAAAAATTCAAAACACAAACGGGTCCAACCTTTCTTACAAACACAATAACAATTATTATTATGGTGTTGCAAGCGGGTCTGGGCACAGGCCCAAGTTGGGCAAAAAATGGACCATGCGGGCTTGGCCGATCCCCAAGCGCGCGTGGCGCCCTCTAAACCCAACTTGGCCTAGATTCAACCCTTGCTGGGGACCTCCCCAATTTGGAGGGGGTCAGACCCAAGCCACGCTTGGCCGAGCCCAAGCGAGGGTGCCACCTGCGGCAAACCTGACCTCACAGGTCAGCTATGTGGGTTGCGGGTGTGGTCATGGTGGTAGTCAATGTCAGTGATCTGGTGAGCCCAGAGCTTGGGTTCAGCCAAGCCAGACTTGGGCCAGTGCCAAAGTCCGACCCCCACGGGACCTTCCAAATCAAGCCCCCTGGGCGCTGGCACGAGGACATGCCAGACTGGGGCCTGTGCCCAGACTAGAGATGGTCTCTGGATATCCGTTGCGGATATCCGCTATCCGCTGGGGGATATCCGCCAGTGCCAGCGGATGCGGATGTCCCCTTTCCCCTGAAATCCTGGCAGATATCCAGGTATCCCAGCGGATATCTGCCCATATAGGAGGGAAAAAAAGAAGAAAAAACAAAAGAAAAAACAAAATAACAAATAAAATAACAAATAAAATAACAAATAAAATAAGGGCCTCAATAAAAAACACAGTTTTTGATGCGTGCAGCACAGATTCTGCGTTTGGGTGTGTTTTTTTAATTAATTTTTTACCACTTATTTTTCATGTTTTTTGAAATTTTAAATTTATTTCCTAGGTTTTAAAATGGTTAGAATTCTGTGGTAATATTAAATTTCTTTAAAAAACAAAGGATCACTTTGAAAATTCCAATCAAACATATTTTTTCAATTAATTTCTTACAGCTTGTTTCTCAATAATTTTTGATATTTTAAGTTTTCTTTCCTACACTTTAAGACATGCAAAAAATTATGGTAATGATGCTTTTGCATCAAAATGAAAATTAATTCTTGAATATTTTATTTGGAATGTTTTTTTAATTAATTCTTATAGGCCTAATTTTCATTATTTTTTGGAATTTTAAATTCATTTCCTACATTTTGAGAGGTTTCAAGTCTTATGGTATTATTCATGATACCCAAAAATAAAAGCTCCAATCTTAATATATGAGTTTACCTTGTTTCTTGCATAATTTGTGCTGTATACCAATTTTATTTGTATGCAAAACTGACATAACCATCAATTTTCAAACCTTTCAAAATTGAGGAAATAAATTTGAAATTCCAACAAATAATGGGAATCAGGCCTGTAAGAATTAGTTAAAAATACATGCCAAATATAATATTCAAGAATTAATTTTCATTTTGATGTAAAATAATTATTACCATAATTTTTTACATGTCTTAAATTGTAGGAAAAAAATAAAATGTCAGAAAATATTGAGAAATAAGCTGTAAGAAATCAATTGAAAAAATGTGCTTGATTGGAGTTTTCAAAGTGATCCTTTGATTTCTAAAGAAATTTAATATTACCACAAAATTCTGAGCATTTTAAAGCCTAGGAAATAAATTTAAAATTTCAAAAAAACATGAAAAATAAGTGGTAAAAAATTAATTAAAAAAAAGAAAAAAAAAAAATGAAGGCCTCCAGGCTGCAAGGACTTCAAAATTGCTGTTTATGCAGCTCCCCAAATCTGAAATTTCCCCAAGGAACATTCATTTTGCACCCTAGGGGTCATTGAAGGGGCGGATATCCGCGGATATCCGCGCGGATACCCGCCAGCGCCAGCGGATACCCGCCAGCAGATGCCGATGTCTGATTTCGCTGAAAACGTGAGCGGATATCCGACTCCGAACGGATATCCGGATGCGCCGGGGCCATCTCTAGCCCAGACCCGCTTGCAACATCATATATGTAATCTTTAAGTTGATAATTATGAAGTAGAGTTATTCCTTTTTGAAAGAATTTGGAAGCTAAAGGTTTTTATTTCTTTATAAGTCATCTTTTCTTAAAAGTTAAAATACAATAATTTAACATGATAGGAAAAGACTTTTTACCTAAAGGCAGAATATAATCTGAGCTAGGTAAAGTAAAGAAATGATAATGATAATATAGTGCTAAGACTTCTTCGGATAAGTATAAATTGATGATCTAAATTGTAAAGAAAAGAGTATTGAATTAGTTTTAAAGACTCATTTCTCTTCTTGAAAAGTAATACTTTTGAATGAAGAAGAATGACTATACCCGTTGGATAAGATCGAGTTTAATTCTTTTGACGATTGTTGTTTATTTGATTGATGATACTATCTGTCAGCCTCTATGCTACTAACCTGTAAGGGTTGTGCTCTGAGTGTTAACAAGAATGGTAAGTGAGAAGGTTTATTTGTGGTTAAATCCCTCAACCTGTAAAAGAAACAGGGAGGAGTCAGTGAGGAATGGTACTTCTACTGCTGACTCATCCAATTATTCAATTGGGCATCCAGATCAATCCTGTTACGTGGATTAATAGGCTTCCAATGTGAGGAATTCTTCTACTCACTTGGGATCAAGTCTTTTAACAACAATCCAGATGAATAAGTGTATGTACACTTAAGGACCAGAATTGTTTAACCAGGGGGATAATTCTTTATGCAATAGAGATAAGTAGAAATGCCTTGAATCTGAGCAAAGTAAATCTATTTAGGTCTAAGGTAGCTGGGTTGTAATGTTATTGGTGGTTTGAATCACTAATAAACACGGTACAAGTGTTGGTTTGATGCTACTAGAATTTCCTGGGGGGAAAAGGTAGGAATCTGAGCTCCTTAAATATTCTACAGGGGGCTCAGGGGAAGAGGAGAGGCCCTCAGGGCACTAGGGAGCTTCTTAGCAGCTCTACAATTTCGTGTAAGGATGGGAGCTGTAGCTGTGCAGTGCTATGCATGGGTGGAAGGTCCTAGGACATGAGATCATACATGCATAATTGAGTTTTGTGGCCTATTTCTCACGTAATTGAAAAGGCTACAGTTACTGTGCAGGGGCTGTGCAATTGTAGAGTTAGTTGCATACGTGTAACTCTGCTTATGCAAGCTTGTGATCATGAGAAATGCATGTCCATCATGCATAATTCAGTCTTGCATGTAGAATTTGGGCTCCTCTCCCGTGTAGGCTGCTTTGAATTATGCAAGCTTTGAATTAGAGCACAAAAGGGTCCTGATGACGCCATCCAAGAGGGTTATGATGCAATCTGATGCCCTGATGATGTGATCAAGGATGGGTAAGCTTCAGATAAATGTATATAGCTTATTCCTCATCCATTTCACGCTTCTACTAGCTGATTCTTTATACATATGTAATTATTTATGGCTTATAAAATATGTACATAATGTATAAGAATAAACATTGTTTAATACTTTATTCTAATGATATTTCTGTGAAATCCTAGTGATATTATATGTACAATACTCAAGGGGATCTCACAGTTAATTATAGAATTATTAAATATAAATTATGAATTAAGATTAAATGTAAATACATATTTATTTATTTATTATTTTAACAACAATGTATACTATTTTCCAGTATTCAATTAATTATTATTATTGCAGTTACTAGGTACATTTCACGTACTGTGAAATGTGCTCTGTGGCTGACACTATCATTAATAATAATTAATCAATCGTTATTTGTTAGTTATTATTCTCTTTCTTTTAAAATAAAAGAAAGGCTATGACACTCACCGATAGACGGTGAGGAAATTCTGTCGATGAGCGTAGTCGACGAGTTGCGTTTGTTTGAGCTAGTGATAATTTTTGTTCAAGTAAATAGAGTGATCATTAGCGATCATTCTCTCTACTTGATTGTCATCATCGAGACTCACCTAGAGCTCCATGATTGACGATCATCACTATCTAAACTCATGACGTCATTGACATCATCTTCTTTATCATAAGCTTGTCGCTTAGCTGTACTGTCGCATACTTTATGCTCTATACATGATCAAATAAACATGATCAGTATTTGATTTTTAGTTTTCTAGGTAGCTTACATTCTAAGTGTAAAGCTTACCTGATGTTCTCCTCTTGCGAGGGCTAGAATTAGGAATGGAATTCCAACACTTTTTACATGTATTATTTATGTTAATATTTATTCTGTAAATTAATAAAGATTAACCTCTTTATTAATTTACCTCTTCCATGAAAATTATAATCAAGTTGAAAAGGATAACTATCTCTTGGGTGTATCCAAGAGATGATTATCCTGTTTAGCTCTCTTATGTGTATTTTCTGAAATAAAGGATATTCATCACATGTACATTTAACATGCTCTGAATATACCCACACTTTCCCCCAAGGAATAGTGCACCAATAAGGGGACTGCACCGGTCCCAGCAGCAGTCTGACCCCTGCTCTGTAATATTTAAGAGGATGGCTCTCCCCCTGAGAATCATTCCCCAGACATTATTACCATACAAACCCAATCACCTTAGAGCAACTCCACCGCGGGCCCTAGTTTCGGGCCGTTAAAATTTGATCATTGGGACTGCGCCGCCAACTTTACAGCTTTGAAGTGCTGTGGCATGCACCGCAAGAGTCTTCAAAAATCCGTGAAAGGGTGGTGTGAAGTTGGAAGCAATTCGGATTGAGGTGGAGGAGTAGAGTTTCACAAGCTGGTTGTTGTGTGAAAGGGGATTGAGCGGTCAATAGAGAAGTCGCTAGGAGTCCCTACATGTAGGGACTTGGCCTAGAAATTTAGGGACGGCCGTAGATTTGGAACACAAATAGCGGCCGAGGTGGCTCATGTTGAGTCTGTAAATTCCAACTAGCGACCCGATTTACCGCCCGCGGTGGAGTTGCTCTTGCTAGATATTACATACTAATAAATAGTGAGTGGGGTTTTTACAATAGTCTTTAAACATATTAATTACTCTTTCCTCTATCATCATTACTAGCCTTATAAGTTACTTATTTAACTTATAAGACTAGTAAAAAACCTTTTCTCTTAACTAAGCTCTGGCACTGTGAAGCTCATTCCACAGCTGTCCCTTATTTTTATAAGGAGCCAGTCCCTCCACTGTACCAGTGTTGAGTTGGACTTTATTTCCACTGGCCCTGTTGGCTATAATGTGACCCAAAAACCCTATCAACTCCTGGTCACATAAGAGACCGGAGCTGACGCCTGGGGTTCTGGCCAGGAAATTTCTTTCCTGTGTACCACCATCATCTAAGATACCATTCCTTTGTCAAGAATAATTACTGATACATTGATTTTTCTTTTCCAGATCAGTACACCTAACCTCACTCCACCCTTGAATTATTCAGACTCAACCATCTGAATTATATATAAGGTGTGTCGAGCTCTGCTTTCCCTATTTCTAATCCTGAGTTTAGCAATCACTCATCTCATAACAGATCTTCTCTCCTGCCACGCGTACTTGAGGTTTAACTCAAACTCGTCAATCTCATTCCTCTTTGATCTCAGGTCATCACTTGCTTATAGGCTTTCCACAGTCAAAAAAGTTTGTCAATGCTATTCACTACTTGCAAAACTCACAGCTTAAGAAAATAACTGACCAGTTATTTAGATATCTTACTTTCTCAGATAGTAGCCAACAGTAATCCAACAAGTGAGTCAATCTGCGCTATCTTAGAAACTGTTCATTGGTTCAACTTTTGCTGACTCAATCTTTGGTATCTTATTTGTTGAACAACAGTGTCTACTGCATCTCAAACTACTCCGGTAAAGACTTCCTCCAAAGCCGTATCGGCGTCCAAGGGAACTCGTTTGCAGCCCAACAAGACAGCGAAGCCAGTCAAAACGGTCGTTAAGAAAGTGAAGAAACAAATTAACAGCCCAGAAGAGGTGCCATCCGAGTGGGACAAGTCCAACGTATCCTCAAAGTCCAAAAATAGAAAATCTGCGGCAACCGTGGTGAGGAAAACGGCTAAGTCAGCTTCTAGACCTAAGAGCAGTACCAGTAACAGGCCGATTTCACCTCCGGCAACTCCTGCTGATTGGCCCAAGTTGACCGAGAAATCTCAGGCAGCAGTCCTTTCAGCTAAAAAGAAGTCGACTATCCCTGCCAAGTCCAACGATCCGTTACCAATCACAGATCCCTTTGAGAGTAACGAGAAGGCTTTGAAGCTTATTGATAAAGATTTGATCAGCCACCTTAGCTTCAAGAAGGTCGGTCGAGAACCTCTAGCTAAGACCGTCAATAATGCTGCAATGACATTGAGCAAGCAAGCACCTAGCGCCAAGAAATCAGCTGTTCAAATTGGTCCAGTGTCTGAAGCAGCTGAGACCTTGCTGAACGGCCCCAAGACTTTTAACAAACCGGTCAATAAATTGACTCAGAAGAAATTAGACAACTACTTTTTTCCACAAGGCCAAACAGTTTGATCAGTATCGTCGCGATCATCAGATCATCCGTGTAGTTCTACTACTTCCTCCTCATCAGTCATACAGAGCGATGGTGTGATAACCCATACCTTTCCATATCATCTATTATTTTACTGTACATTCACTGGGAATTATAATAATATTACCGCTTATTCAGATTCTACACCCTTTTTTACCTATAGTCACTCGCTCAAGCCATATCCCATTTCTTACTGGTTCACTAGTTATTTGCAGTTTTAGTTTTACAGATATTATTCTTTACATTTACATTACACATTAACTACATACAGTACATATTTACAGATTACTACAAACATCTTATGTTTCACAAGTACTATCTTCTTACATATATCTCTTCTCATTACATCAGCCACACTCCTTTACAAGTATTTCTTTTCACATTACATACTACATATATTTTCTCAGACACACTCCTTACAATTATGCTTTCTCATATGCCTTCAGGATAACAGTAATACACTCATTCACAGTCTTTATCTTTTGGGATTGTTTTTCTTTACTCATCCTCCTCTTTGATTGTTTACTTTTCACATCTCTTGTGCTACATAGCCAGAATAACGGTAACCTGTGCTCATTTGTACCTTAGAGTATATATACAGTCTTCTTATCATTTGTACACCCCCTATGCAATTTCTCCCCTACAGATATTATTGTGCCCCTCAGATAAAATCTATTTTACTTTCAGAACTCGTCTTAGTGACCTTGCCCTGTTTGGTGCTTTGCCCCCCAGAAATACCTTTACACACAGTGTCCTTAGAGCTCTGCTTTATTTACAACCCTCATATTCTCACTTCTTCCCCTGTAGGATTGATAAGGAACAAACTCATTAGTTATAGCAGCCTAAGAATCAGTTAGAAATTAGCCACACCTCTTTCTTATTTTCTTAGTGTAACCCTCTCTCCTCAGCATTAGTCTCAGAGGGCAGCTTCATCAGCACTCATAGCCTCAACTTACATTGCTAGTAGTGTATTTTTTTATTTCCCCTCTAAGCTCTGTTTGGGTTGTTCAGCAGTTCCACAACAGTAGCGACCTCAATATCATAAATGGTTACCTTAGATCCTTTGTTCAAGCTAGCTATAAACATTCTCACAAGTCTCTAACTGAAACATGTCTCGCACTAGGAGCCACCACCCAACTTTGGTCGAGGCACAAGACCTTACCGGTACCCCTAGAGGAAGACACTCTGATAAAGTATTCTTCAAGCGGTGAAGCTGAATCAAGAATACTACCGTAGAGCAAAGAAGACCAACAACGAGTGTCTGAAAGTAGGAGCGCTAAGCGCAGCCTTGAACCTACAAACCAACCTACTACGCTTGATCAGCCAGGAAGAATTCCTGGAAATGTTCAAGTGGGATCCGAACTCAGAGTTTGAGGAGTATGCAAACGGAGAGAAAGGCCGTCAATTCTTGAAGGAGAGAGGAACCAAAGTGACTCCGACTCCGCCACCCAAAGTGAAGATGCAGCCACCTCAATCAGCACAGTCTCAAGAACAAAGGACGGAGAATTATCCAGATTACCAACCTCAGCCTCCAATGTACTACCATCCAAACAGGTATTATTACCCATACCCACCGGAGATGTACCATCAACAGAATCCCTCCTGGAATCAACCAGGCTACTACCACAACAACCAGATGTACCCTGTGGCTCACCAACATCCTGTGCAAGAAAACCTTCAATCTCAAGTCCCTCAACAGCCACCGGGCAGTACCAACCAAAAGAACCAAAACGATCAAGCTCAGAAGAGCAACCGAGATCGTCTGCACAACAGAAAGGCAAAGGGACCAAACTGGGTCCCTCCTCCAACTCTAAAGCGAGCCCCCCAAGACTCCTGAGAATCAAACGCCAGGGAGAGACGTCAAAGGTCCCATCAACTCCCAATTCACCAAGAGATGATAAGGCTCAACCGCACAACTCAGGCTCAGTTTCAAGCGCTCGAGTCCATGAGAAATCAGAACGCAGAGGACGAGAATTGTTGTCAACCCCAAGAGGGCGCACCGACTCCAAAAAATTAACAAGTGATGAGTTAGTACCAATTCTCCAAAAACTTTTCCTGAGCATAGAGAAAATTGTAGATAATAATTTAGCCTTATTATCCAAACAGATCAACTCAGATGTCACAGTAGATATAGCTAATCAATTGAGTCACCAATTTGACACATTTGATCCTAAGTTTAAGTCCCTTTTATTTTCTTCAGAAAATTCTATTGCTATGTTACAGAATATTACTAGATCCCTCCCACAAATAGAAGCCTCAGCTAAGAAATGGTCAGCTTCAGAGTCAGATTTTAATTCTCTGAATAATAAATTGTCTAATATTAATAAGATGTTTTCCAACTCTTCTGAGTCCCATAATATTAGAGAAATTAAAAATATTGTGATGGCCCTCAGTAATAGAGAAGATTTGTCCAAAAGAGCATTTGACAATCTTTTTAGTCTTGTTTATGATAAGTTGGAAGAAAATAAAAATAAGACAGACAACTTCTTTGAGAAATTGAACAATAAGTTGACTCCTGATCCTGGAGTTGGAACTTCTTCAAAATTGGAATCTACGGAGCCAAGGAAAGAGTCACCTGAATTATTTCCAACCAATAAACAAGATAAGGGTAAGGGAAAAGAGAGTTTTCATCCTGATGCACCTGACATGCTGTTACAAGACCAACAATTGAACACTAATAATATTTGCTCTTGTCACGCAAACATTTCTGAGCTTAAGTTAGAGCATCAGTTACTTAGAGAAGTTAATGAAAAGATAGACTACCTGATTAACTTGAATGAACAGCCAATTGCTGACATCAATGCTAAACTTTTGGTGATAGAAAATAATAATGAGAAAAGATTCAATACTCTGATGGCAAAGTTTGATAGATTTAAATCCCCAACTGTTGTGTTCGGTGAACATATAGGACACAGAAATGAGACCATCTCTGCTGCAAGACAAGAGACGCCTCATGCTCCAGAAGGGTCTAAGCCAACTCCACAAATATCTGTGAATAAAAATAATGCTGAATTCTTTGAAACTAAGAACCAAGCTACTGAACTTGACCCTGGAACAACACTGGGAAGTTACATACGTTACAATATCCGGGGGGTTTTTTGTAACGTAACTTCCCAGCGCATTGGATAACAACATTAGCGTTATCCAGAATGTGATCTTTTTTGAGCGTTGAGTAACGTAACGAGAGGGATTTTACCCCTCGTTACGGAAGAAAACAACGCAAACGGCACGTTATCCACGTTGTGTGAGGGTAAACCCCCTCGTTATGTGTTTTTTATCCACACTTAATCGTGGTGGATAGCGTAAAAACAATAAAAAAAGCGGAAAAAAGGGAAAAGAAAACGTAACGGAAAGGCTTTTGCGGTTATTGTAACGCTAACAGCCACAATTCTGTTACGTTTTCGTTATTTTTCGTTACTGAAAACGTAACCTCCCAGTGTTGCCTGGAAGACTGAGTGAATTTTTTGAAGTTCCTTCAGTGAGGAGTGAAACGGTGCCTGTTGCCAGACCTCAACTGTCTCCTGAGACAAGTAAAATCATCATGCAAGGATTTTCTAAGATAGAAGCATGGCCTAGCTTTTCTGGAGACGGTGAGTATAACCATGTGGACTTTATCAAGAAAATTGATAATATCCAAGAAGACTGTAATATAGAGGATGCAGTTATCATTTCAAAATTGATGAATATGTTCACAGGTTCAGCAGAGCAATGGTACTCCACCGTGAGAGCTATAGTAGGAAGTCCGTCTTGGGCTTTTTGGAAAAAAACCCTTCATAAAAAATATGGTACTCCCGCCTGGAGAAGAAAACTTTTGACTAATTATCAGAAGGATAGATTTGTGCCAGGAGGTACCCAAGCAGCAACTTGGGTCACAAGACAGTGCAAAAGAATCATGGCATGTGAGCCACAAACCAACCATGAAAGCCTTATGTTTAAACTTCTGACCCAAATGGACAGAGAGGTTAGCTTTGCAGCACAAAATGCAATGAAAGATGGACAAACTCTGACTTCATTAATTAATGCTTTGGAAGAAATCACATAATACACCAATATAGGTAAGAGAAGAACATCTTATGGCCTTGGTAACAAGCAATACACTAATAATAGGGGGTATCAAATATAACCAAATCCACCATTATTTAATTGACTGGTTTGAACAAATCCACCCTTTTTTAAACATGTTGGTTATCCATTTAAACCCTTTTGGGGCCCATTTATGCAAAAATTTTTTTTTAGAAAAGTGACTGGTTTCTGATGGTGGATTTCCTATATTTGATACCCCCTAATAAGAGTTTGGATAAGAGTAAAGAGTCCAAAAAAAATTCAGATCTTAAGTTTTATTCTTGTGATAAGGTAGGGCACACCTCTAGAAACTGTCCGAAAAAAGCTAAGAAGGTTGCAGCTATTGGTGATGAAAGTAATAATGATGCTGGTATTGATTCAGAAAGTGATTCTGAACAACAATATCATAATCCAGATATTGTGTGTGTAAATACTACGTCCGCAGATTATTTCATTTCCCCTGTTTCAGGCAGTAATAGAATAGTCCAAATGACTTGTTGTCACAAGCCGTGTAGTGTACTTCTAGATTCTGGTGCTTTTAAATCAGTAGTGGGGATAAATTATTTGGATAAGTTCTGCCCTAAGTGGAAGAAATTTATTATTTCTACCACTACTGATAAATTCCATAGCTGCTCAGACCAATTAACCACACTAGGTGTAGTCAAGGTTATTTTGGAATTTATGAACCACAATTTAAATGTAGATTTTTTAGTTATTGAAAATGCCTTAGCAAATTATTTCATTCTAGGAAATGATTACTTAAGCCATTTTGAAATTTCTATTATGAATGATAAAGGTAGCTACTTCAGAATTGGTTCTGATAAGGCCAAATACAAATTTGGCAGCAATGAGTCTAAGTTAGTTGCATCAGGAAATACTCCTGAAGGATTATTTGTACAAGAAGTGACAGATAGCTCAACAATAAATCCTGATCTGCCAAGCAAAGCAAAGGACCAACTCCTTCAATTGCTCTTTGCCAAGAAGCAAGCTTTTGCTACAGTGGAACAGCCCTTTGGTGCAATCAGAGGTCATGAAGTGAAGTTGACTTTAAACATTGAAAAACCGTACCCACCAGTCTTAAGGAAAGCAACTTATCCGGCTAGTCCAAGGAGCAGATAGGCTTTAGCCAAACATATAGAGGCATTACTTAAGCTGAAATTCATTAGAAATGTATGTGCAAATGAGAATGTGGATATTACCACTCCGGTGTAGGACTCTTGGGACGGATAGACACAGTAAAGTATATGTATATCAAAAGATCCCTTGAGGGGGAAATAAATTGCAGATAGGTTGAAAGGCTATTACAACTTACGGGTGGTTTGAAAGACCTGCCCCTCTAAATGTACTAAACAAATAACTAAGAGTCTTGTAATCAATATTTAATAATGTATGTCTGATTCCAAGATAGATCTTACTTTTGTAAAGTAATCTTTATCAGACCTAGATCACGTATCAATCTACTAATGAATCTGTTACAACTTCAGTCTAATAATGGAAACTGTGGTGCTGATGACTTGAGCACGAAACAGATGAGTTGTTATAGAGTTGGTTAATGATCTCTTTCTCGAACAATTTCTTGCTAAGGCACTTTAATCAAAAACTAGAGCTCCGGTACTAATACTACTACTACTTGTTATTGGTTTAATTGTTAATGTACTACAACTTATATGATGACTACTACTACTAATATGCTTCAAATCCCGAACTCTGTGTTGGTTGCACGCTTACAATACTGTTATAACTTGCTACGTATCACTAACTAACTCACTACTTAACTCACTAACTAACTATGACCAACTTACTACCGTAGGTTGATGGGGAGAAGGGACTTTCTGGTGGGAGAGGCCCTTCTTTTATATTGAAGCAGGGGACTCCTTGTGAGGGAATATTGCTGCAGGGGATCTCACCTTCACAGCCTTTGCGCACAGCCTCCAAACAAATAGCGCAGCTTATGCTGTGCTAGGAACACTTAACTCCAGACCTTGTCACATAATATGCATGCAAGGGAGCACACAAGCGCAGCATGATGTCATGCATTGCCAGGCAACCAAGCCATCTTCTAGAACATTCTGCATAGGCAGTACCAGCCTGCCAGACCTGCTGTTAACTCCTTCCACCCAGAATTTGGGGGTCAAAGCCTCTCCTCACTCCTTCCTTCCTCCCTCTGCCTCAATATTTTTCCTCCCTTCACTTTCCACAATCCGTACCCTGTACCCTTACGTAAAACATAAAGTACCCTTATTACACTCCACTCCTCCGTTCCATTCCTGGTCGAGACATGTTCTCCCACTCCTCTCCATGTATATACTTCCGCTCCTCTGTTCCATTCCTGGTTGAGATATGATCTCCCACACCACTCCTCGTACGTATAGACACCACTCCTTTATTCCATTCCTGGTTGAGATATGATCTCCCACTCCACACATTGTATGTAATCCTGTCCGTATATACCACACCTCATCCATAATGATGGTTCCTTCTCTTGTAATGATTGTCACATGTATGTAACTATGCTATCTCAACACCTCTGCTGTATGCTTTTGCCATTGGAACAGGCACGGCACACCACACCGGTAATAATTGCTTGGCATAATAATAAATCTAGACTTGTTGGTCACTTCAGAGCTTTGAACGGCTACACCAATCCTGATAGGTACCCCATGCCTTAGATAATGGAGTCTTTAAGTAAATTACATAAAGCAAAATATATTAGTTGTATGGATGTACTCAAAGGATTTTATCAAAATGTTATTCATAATGATAGCAGCCAATTCTTAAGAATAGTCTGCCATCTTAGTATTTATGAATATCTCAGAATGCCTTTTGGCATAAAAAATGCGCCATCTCACTTTCAGAGAATGATGGACACAGAGTTTGCAAATGAGCTAAGCGGATTGTGGCTCATTATTGATATAGATGACATCATTATTTTTTCAGATAACTGGTATGACCACTTAGACAGGTTAAGTACGGTACTGGATAAAGTCATCAAAATGAATATGAAAATTTCACTGGCTAAGTGCCAGTTCAGATTTTCAGAACTAAAAGCTTTAGGGCATATAGTAAGTGGTTTGTCTTTGGGAATTGACAAACATAGGGTAGCAGCAGTGTTGCTCAAACCTACACCTCAAAATGTCAAAGAAATGCAAATGTTCCTTGGTTTTGCTGGATACTATAGGTTACATATAAAAAAATTTGGGTCCATGGCCTCTAGTCTTTATAGTCTCTGTAGCCCCATTGTATTATTTGAAATGACTGCTTGAAGAGTTGAAGCTTATGAGTCCCTTAAATTTTCTTTAACAAATGCTCCACTATTGTTTCACCCTGATCCAAAAGAAAGGTTTAAATTATATGTTGATGCATGCATGAAAGGTATTGGTGCAGATTTACATCAAGTGCAAACCATCAATGAAAAACCTGTAGAAGGACCAATTTGTTTCATCTCAAGACAACTCAAAGATTCTGAGAAGAGGTACGGTGCTTCTCAGCTTGAATGTCTTTGTCTAGTGTGGGCCTTGGATAAGTTGTATTACTATCTGGATGGTTGTGAGTTTGACGTCATCACAGATTGAGGTCTTTACTGAATATGAAAACACCCAATAGGCATATGCTCCGTTGGCAAATTGCTATCCAAGAATGGAGAGGATCTATGACAATTGTTCAGAGAGGGCATAGTGCATAAAAATGCAGACGGACTTTCTAGATTGGCTTTGCCAAATGACCCTAATAATCCTGCTTATGATGCTGCGGAAGCTGAAACAGGTTCACCAGTTTTGGATATTTTGCCTTTTAACATGAGGATGTCTGAGTGTCTTGCACACTGGGCTTTGCCAAATGATGAAAACAATCCAGCCTTTGAAAAAGAGTCCTTTGTTGACACTAATCCTATTATGGCTATTTCTATATCTGGATTGTCATCATCCTTTTGGGAATTAATAGAAAAGAGCTATGAATCTAACAAAAACACCCTAATATTGGTCAAATTACTTAAGTCACCTTACCCAGATAAAGGTTTAGTTGAAGGACTTGAAGGTATTTGGAAATAACATTTCTTAGAAAACAGATTTGTTTTTTTAGACAAATTGTTGTACCACAGACGTGAGCAAAACTCCTCAGTAGTGCTTATTGACCCCAGTCATATCAGTATCATTTTGAATGAATGCCATGATAGTATTACTTCTGGCCACTTTTCCAAAGACTCTAAATAGAGTCCAAGGTCTAGCTTGGTGGCCAGATTGGAAAAATCAAGTGTCAGATCATTGTGATTCTTGCAACAGGTGTCAAAAAGCCAACAAAGCTACGGGAAAGCGCTTTGGCTTGTTACAAACAATTGATGAACCAAAATCAAGGTGGGAAATCATCAATATGAACTTTGTTACAGCCCTTCCTGCAGCAGGACCAGAAAACTATAATGCAGTGTTAGTAGTCTGTGATAGGTTTTCCAAAAGAGCAAGATTCTTGCCTTGCTACAAGGATAGTAGTGCAATGGATATAGCGCTTATATTTTGGAATAATATTGTCAGTGATGTTGGATTTCCAAGAATCATAATCAGTGACAGAGACCCAAAACTTACATTGGATTTTTGGCAAAATTTGGTTGAAATTTTAGGCACTAAGTTAGCTTTTTCTACAGCTTATTACCCTCAAATTGATGGGCTCGCAGAAAGGATGATTCAAACTCTTGAAGACATGATCAGGAGGTATTGCACATATGGAATTGATTTCAAAACTAGTGATGGTTACACTCATGACTGGGTATCTCTTTTACCAGCACTAGAATTTGCTTAAAACTATAGTAAAAATTCCGTCAAGGGCATGACTCCTTTTGAACTTGAGAGAGGTTGGATTCCTCATATGCCAAAAGACTTTCTACTTTCAAAGACAATTGAGTTGCACCCCAGTTCAGAGTGCTTTCAAAAAATGATGTTCCAAGCAGAAGAAAAAGCTGTTCTCTGTGTAAAAGAGGCTGCTGAGTATAACAAGGAAAGGTGGGATAAAACTCATAGAGACCACAATTTGAAATTTGGTGACTTAGTTCTTATCTCTACAGTAAATTTCAATAACTTAGGAGGACCTCAAAAATTAAAAGATACTTTCATAGGACCATTTGTTATTAAAGAATTTCACGGTAGAAATGCTGTTGAGGTTATTTTAACAGAAGAATTTAGTCAAAGACATCCTACATTTCCTATAAGTCTTTGTAAAAAATACATTGTACAAGATAATAGTTTTGCCAGGTCTTCTAATGAAGTCATTGCTCCTCCCATGAAAGATGAGACCGTAACAAAATCTGCAGCAAAAATCTTGAAAGAAAAAGTTGTCAGGAAAAATGGTAAAGACTGCAAGTTGTACTTAGTTAGATTTAAAGATTGTCAGCCTGATCAAGACTTGTGGATAGAATCTGAAAAGATAGACAATTTTCAAGTCTTGTTAAGAAGATTTAGAGCTACCAAAAGATCAAAAAATTCCTGATGGAATTTTCCTTTTGGTGGGGGTGAATGTCAGACACTGATACACTAGCCCAGGTGTCTACAATAGAATGTAACCCCTTTGGTTTACATAACAATTATTATTATATGTAATCTTTAAGTTGATAATTATGAAGTAGAGTTATTCCTTTTTACATGTATTATTTATGTTAATAATTATTCTGTAAATTAATAAAGATTAACCTCTTTATTAATTTACCTCTTCCATGAAAATTATAATCAAGTTGAAAAGGATAATTATCTCTTGGGTGTATCCAAGAGATGATTGTCCTGTTTATCTCTCTGATGTGTATTTTCTGAAATAAAGGATATTCATCACATGTACATTTAACATGCTCTGAATATACCCACACTTTCCCCCAAGGAATAGTGCACCAATAAGGGGACTGCACTGGTCCCGCAGCAGTTTGACCCCTGCTCTGTAATATTTAAGAGGATTGCTCTCCCCCTGAGATTCATCCCCCGGCCCTGTGAAGCTCATTCCACAGCTGTCCCTTATTTTTATAAAGAGCCAGTCCTTCCACTGTACCAGTTTTGAGTCGGAATTTATTTCCACTGGCCCTCTTGGCTATAGTGTGACCCAAATCCCTACCAACTCCTGGTCACATAAGAGACATTGGTCATACAACGTGTCTTAAGGCCAGCACATTGTATGTGATTTTGTCAGCCTATGTGATGCCAAGACAAGTGTCTTCTAGCTGGACAAGGTGAAAAATATAAGAGGTTTTATAATAAAAACTCTGGGACAAAACTGGTACAAGTAATTCAAAAGAATTACGTGGATTTTATGAATTAAATCAAAAAATATGGCCAATTTATATTAATAAAATTAATATAAATAAAACCAGAGGGGCCTGATAAATCAGGGGTGGTTTAATCCCTCTAAGTTATTGTGCAAAAAGCAGAAGATTTGGGTACCTGACACACTGGGGCCTGTAGCAGGTGTGGTTTAAATCCCAGGAGATAATTTTGGGGGAAATCTTCAAGAAAGGGTTATTACTTACTAGTAATAATCCAAAGGGGTCTTGAGGATCTTCTTAGTAGAAACTGGAAAGTTGGGAGCGCTCAGAATGGTTGATTTTGGGTGATGGGTAATAACTGGGGAGTTTCTTGAGGAATCTTGAGGCTTAATAACAGCAAAAATAGTAATAACTAGGCTAAGTACAAGTGTAGGGGACTTGTAAATGGTAAGTATGTTTCTATACACCTGTGTGGATCCAATTCATCTGCTTTAAACCGAAGATTCAGGTGTCATCATCTTTGGTTTAAAGCCGGATTCACAGCTGAGCTGGGGGAGCTGCCCAAAATTCTTCCCCCCCTGACGCCTCATGGGGTTTTAGTTTATCATTATTAACCTTCCAGACATGTTTCCAACAGTTTCTGTCCAAAAAAAATTTGGCCATTTTGGTGTGGTGAGCTGACCCAGCTCAGCCCAGCTCCCCTGCACATAGAGCTCAACCCAGCTCTACACAGCTCCTGTACACACCTCAGCCAACCCATCCAGCTCAACCCAGCTCCCACTCAGCCAATCCATCCAGCTCACCCCAGCTCCCAAGACACAGCTCCACGCAGCTCCTGTCAGCTCCCCTGCACATAGAGCTCAACCCAGCTCTACACAGCTCCTGTACACACCTCAGCCAACCCATCCAGCTCAACCCAGCTCCCACTCAGCCAGTCCATCCAGCTCAACCCAGCTCCATCCAGCTCAACCCTGCTCCTACAACACAGCTCCAACCAGCTCAACCAAGCTCCACACATCTCCATCCAGCTCCCTACACAGCTCCATCCAGCTCAACCCAGCTCCACACAGCTCCAACTACACAGCTCCACTCAGCTCAATCCAACTCCATGCAGCTCCACACAGCTCCATCCAGCTCCCACTCAGCCAATCCATCCAGCCCAACCCAGCTCCACGCAGCTCCAAACAGCTCCCTACACAGCTCCAAACAGCTCCCTACACTGTTCCATCCAGCTCAATCCAACTCCATGCAGCTCCACACAGCTCCCACTCAGCCAATCCATCCAGCTCCACTCAGCTCAATCCAACTTCATGCAGCTCCACACAGCTCCACACAGCTCCCACTACACAGCTCCACTCAGCTCAATCCAACTTCATGCAGCTCCCCACAGCTCCCCACAGCTCCCACTCAGCCAGTCCATCCAGCTCAACCCAGCTCAACCCAGCTCCACGTAGCTCCACACAGCTCCACAAGCTCCCTACACAGCTCCATCCAGCTCAACCCAACTCCATGCAGCTCCACACAGCTCCCACCACACAGCCCCACTCAGCTCCATCCAGCTCAACCCAACTCCATGCAGCTCCACACAGCTCAACCCAACTCCACACACATCTCCATCCAGCTCCCTACACAGCTCCATCCAGCTCAACCCCACTCCATGCAGCTCAACCCAGCTCCATACAGCTCCACACTGCTCATGTACACACACACCTCAGTCAATCCATCCAGCTCAACCCAGCTCCACACGGCCCCATATGGCTCCAAGCAGCTCCTGTACACACCTCAGCCAGCCATTCCCACTCCACACAGCTCACACAGATCCTGTATACACCTCATTCAATCCATCCAGCTTCCGTACATACCTCAGCCAGCCCATCCAGTCCAATTCAGCTCCACACAGGTCCATAAAGGTCAACCCAGCTCCATGCAACTCCTGTACACACCTCAGCCAGCTCAACCCAGTTTCAAGTATGGCCCCACTGCTTAATTCATAAAATTGATTTCAACTCCCCATTTTTCACACAACTACCCAGTGGAATGTATAAAAATTGAAAAAAAGAGATACCAGTTGTTTAAGGGCCTTAATAAAGAGATGGTTGGTGTTTGCTGTGCACCGCAGAAGTGTTATCAGTGTTTGGAAGCTTTTTTTGGAATTCATTTTTTACCACTTATTTTTCATGTTTTAAAATGTGTAGAATTTTATGGTAAAAACCATTTTCCATAAAAACCAACTGTTTTTTTTTTGAATAAGGCAATTAGACCCTTTTTTTGAATTAATTTTATTAGAGCATAAATCTTCTTATTTTTTGACATTTTCCACTTGTTTTCCTACACTTTTAGGGAAGCATAAGATTATGGTAACAATCATTTTACATCAACATGAAAAGGAAAATTGGACTTCACCATTAATTTCTAAACATTTTTAAATGTAGGAAATAAATTTAAAATTTCAAAAAATGATTAAAATCAAGCCGGTAAAAATTAATTAAAAAAACATAAAAAAAACCTGTCCAACGCAGTATTCATTACCAATCTTTCGTTTTTATTCAAAATGATTGTTACCATCATTTTCAACATGTCTTGAAGTTGGGGGAATAAATTTAAAAAGTCAAAAAAGAATGAAAATTAAGCTGTAAAAATTTAAGTGAAAGAAATGTCAAATTTCAGTATCAAAAATGAACTGTTGAGTTTCAAGAAATTTGGATGTTACCATTAAATTCTAAGTGCATTAAAACCTAGGAAATAAATTTAAAATTTCAAAAAAACTTGAAAAATAAGGTAAAAAAAGCAATGCATACAATTAATGGAAAAAATGAGTGGAAAAAAAAAATTAATAAACAAAAGTCATGTTTATGGAAAATGGACTTCACCATTAAATTCTACGCATTTTTCAACCTAGGAAACAATTTTAAAAACTTAAGAAAAATTAAAATTAATGGTAAAAAAAAATTAATTGCAAAAGCGCGTCTAAACACCGATTGCGGGTGTGCTGTGCCGCAGCAAAACCGCGTCAAAATGCAGAAAATGCGGGTTTTTTTATTAAGGCCCTAAAAAAAATGTCAAATGCAATATTCAAGACAAATTTTTTATTTTCATTCAAAGTGACCATTACCATCATTTGTGTCAAGATGAAAAATAAGGTATAAAAAATTATATACAAAAAAACACGTCCAAACATGGAATCCAAGTCTGCTGTGTGCTTGTGACCCATTTCAATATCAGTTAGTATTCAATTGTTTACAAATAGGTAATCAAGTGGTAATTTCAATAAAAATTGAAATGTACCTTTTGACTTTGTTGGTCAGCCGACTGCTACAGAAAAAAAAGTTAATTCCTGGGGCAAAGATGTGATGAGGATTGAATTCATGATTTCAATACCTGAAGAAAATATGTGAAATACTTATTTGTTGGCCACACTAGACAGGTGAATGGTTAGGCTTATACAATATACTTAAATCAAGAATGCTATTTTGTTTTATTCCAAATGAGTATCATTTATGTGCTCCTCTTGTTGTAAAATATCTTCCTCCTGCTGTTCCTCTACACTACTAAATTCAAACACTATAGAAGTACCCATTGTTATTTTCTGCCATGTGTTATGGGCTTCAGTAACTAATCTGGTCCATTGGTGTTGAATATTTTCATCATTTGCTTCGTGGTCTTGATGATATTGTTGACTCCAGTCGAGGAGCTCAAAGCAGCTGGCGTTCCAGGTCATCAAAACTCGACTGTGACTTTTGGCTAGTGAGCAGTAGACAGACTTCAGAACAGCATGAGGAATGTTATGCTTGGAGCAGATTTGGGTTAAAAAATTGCTTCCTTCACCAGATTGCTGGTTTGCTGCAGAGTATTTTTTTTAGTTCAAATGAATGGGCCAAAAAAAAATTAGGTGAGTAATCTGTGATATTTTGCTTTAAAGGAAAATGCTGACCTGGGTCTAACAAGTCATAAAGATTTTCCAGAGAGTTTGACCTATCAATAGCCCACTTGACTGCTTGTCGTGCCTCTCGTGAAATCCTTCGCAGCTCGTCTTTGCAATGGGTGGATGTAAGGAGTGCATCAATCCCTTCTCGCACATTTGGATCAATTGCCCAAGGCTCATTTGGATGCAAAAGAGACCCCATATCCCAAAAATGATCATCCAGGCCCATTGACTTGATTTCTTCAAATGTAGGTGTTCCAACGTCGATCTCTGGCATATAGTTTTCATTGTAGATGGTGGCTCGGTTGCAGTATGATGTCCACTTGCTCTTCAGAAGCTTGACCTTGGAACTCATCAATTTCTTGAACCTAGCTTGCATGCGTGTACCTGTTTCCTTGTCAAAAAATATCAGAGGTTAAAGAGACCAAATAAATACTTGCAATTCTAAAGACACACCTGATCCCCTTTGATCCCATCTCTTCTGGACTTCCAAAACCCCCACTTTGGCCTCGTATAGTTTGGATTTGCTCACTTTCAACCTTATTAGAGCCTTTGTCTCTGCATCTGTCTCAAAATTAATAATGTTAATGGAAGGGTGGTTATTTGGATGTATTGATGCTTGGATAAACTCACCAGAGGCACCTGGAAGACCTCGAAATGCTTCAGATCCAAGCTCACTGATAACCTGATCAATTTGTTCCTCCAACGATACAACTGTGTCCGGTAGTCCATGAAGCTGCCTTTGTTCCTCGCTGGTTCGATCACGCCTACGTTTGGCTCTTAATGATACTATTGTGTCGCTACAATAAATTCTGTGTATCAGCTTCAATTATACTGCGGATTCTGAGGAAAAAAATTTACTGTGTATCCCGAAGTTGGTCTTCCAACTCAACAAGTTCCTCAACTTGTTTCATCATATCTCTTTCAGACTCTGTCTCCATCACCGATAGTTGACACTCTCTTTGTCGGATCCATTGGTCAGCCAAGTAAACTGTGGAGTGACCAAAATCCTCTTCGATTTCCTTAAGTTTTTCAAGGGCAGTTTTCATTGCTTCTTCCACCTGTTTACCACGATCTAAGAGCAATCTGACTGGAAACATTTTTTTCATCAAACAAATTGTATTTTATTTCAAATACCGGAATGACATACCTGAATTTGTTTTACCAGTATCATTGTGATGGGAAGACCGTAGATCTAATGCCACAAGTCTATGAGTCTTGGTCGAATACCTTAGGGAGCTGATCAGAGGAGATAAATAAGCCCAAATCCGCTCCATTCCTTCACCATCCGACAGCCCCCATCCAGTGTTGAGCCTAGGGTTATATTGCAGCTGACATGACCATTGATGAACATAAGCATGGAAAACACTTGTTCCAAACATCAACTGGTTTCCCTGGCGTTCTTCACTAAATAAATTTTGCTAAATGCACTTGAATTAGTCTAATAGTGGCCACTTTAGTAGGGAGACCACAGGGAATCCTTACTTTATTAATTCCCTTTTCCATATTACAGCCTATATCGTACAAGAAGCCAATTTTTTTTCTATTCTCTCCATCCTGTGTGGTTGTGAGAAGATTTTTGATCATGGTCATTGGGAAATATGCCCTTTTAAATCAAGAATCAGATTGACTATTTCAAAACATAAATTAATACACATGTCTGGCTTACTTTTCACCACTTTGAACTATGTTGATTAGCCTCAAGATTTGGTCATGACGACATCCCAACCCAAAGATGCCAGTGTCATCACAAGCCTTCCATGTTGCAGCCCCCCTGGTATCATTGGCTGCTGTGTGTTGTTCAGTACATCGGTCCTACAAGGACATAAAATTATATCAGTCATCGGTTTCATATTGTTTAAACATGATGTAACTTACTAAGGTTTCATCTGCTGCCAATGTGTTTCGACTGGATACCATACTCAATTCCATTTCCTGAACCTCGGCCGGAGAAATGAAGAGGGTGTTAGGCTTGCGAGATTGATGAAGTTCTTGGCTGGCTGCAAGGTGTCTACGATGTTGAAAATTTCCGTCCATGCATACAATATAATCTGGCTCGTCCGGTGTCTTTCCAGGAACTGGGGGGCCATAGCACTTTGGACAAATATTCGCAAGTTTATCCATAGGTCCCATCTGTAAGAGCTCTTCCGATATGATCTGTCCTCGCCTGATCATCTCCCGGTATGCATCAATTGCTGCGGAGATGGTTTGCCTCCATTGTCTGGTCTTAAATCACATAATTGTTTGGCATTAGTATTCATCCTTATAATTCTCACACTGATTATCAGAATAGTCTCTCACAGTATAACAGCTTTCAGATTGCAAAGTTGGTGGTGATACAAGAATGAGAGGGTTATTTGAATCGAGGAACTCGTCCAGAGCTTTTGAAAAAGGTGTGATTGATACTGCACAGTGTTTCCAGATGATATGATGGAATCTCAAGAGTCGTATGGAAAATGCGGTTCTGGGGAATTTTGGTGATCCTCCGATATAACCCATCCTGATAAGGCGGACCTGGTCTGACTGGCATTTGCAAAATGAGACTTCGGTTTGTGTTCTGCCTGGAAAGCATTGATGGGGTTCAGTATACAGATGACATGTTTACACACCGAGTTCATCTTGATCATGCATTTGATGAAAACTTACTGTACATATCTACCAAGACCACTGGTCTTGATCGAAGATTATTACAATTACAGGGCTCGTTCCAATCATGGTTCCATAGGTTTGGGTTACCCCATTCGAAGGTTTTGATCGCGCACTGCTGGAATGATGAGAACATTTCCTGATATGCTTCTTCCCAATTCTTCTCTTCTAGGATCTTCTTTTGTTTGTAATGTTCACTTTGAAAGTATCGGTGTAGTTGCTGAACACAAGAATTGGTAAGATGATCATTGTCTTGGTGGTCCGATGGTAACCGATCCTGTTGGTGTGCAGATTCGAAGGGGTCCAGATCGTTGTTTCCGATGTGGTCAGCTCCAAAGTCAAAGTCGTCCTGACCAGTGGGATCTAAGGTTTGGTTGTTGTTTTCTTGAGCTGATGAGTCTTCATTGGGATGATCGGTTGGGTGTATATCATTGGCTGGTCGCGCCAATGGGGTCTGAAGGATGTGTTGATGTTCCAGCTGGACAGCTTGACTGAAGGAGACACCTGCTTCGGTTTTTGGTTTACGGATCCGTTTTCTTCTTTTTCCGCCATCACCTTCGAATAAGGGCATCTTCTGATCTGGGCTTTGAGAAATAGTTTACTTTAAAGATTTTCAATCCATGTGAAACTTGCAAAGACTGGATGAGTTCCCATCAACAGTATGTAATTCAATGCGAATTGAGTCCAAATGCATAGGCTTTATTATATAATCCTTGGACTTTAGGGGCCATTCAGTAGATAATGCAGCTGAAGCATTTTTGGCAGTCTTGAAGGGCATTGTCTTATACCCAGGCTGACTTTTGGGCACTCTCTCTAGACTCTACTAGGGCTTATTTGGCCCCTCTGAGATATGTTTGCAGAAACCATCAATTTTAGAAGGTGTCACCCAACCCCTTGGATATTTCTTGGATTAGTTCCTATCAGTTCACATTATCATCTTTTAAAATTGTGTTCAAATTTATGCTATGGAATTTATGCAAAATTCCTGTATGGCAGTTAACTTCTGTTCTATGCTTTATTTCAATGTGTGTGGAGCAGTATGAAAATATCCACATAGATGCTACTTTGATTATTGCTTCAATCATTTAGGTAGTCATTGGAATTATTTTGTATGGTTTCACCTACAGGGTTTAATACAAGATGTCATGGGGAGTGAGGGGAGGCTACTGGATAACTGTGGTCAGTTATCAAATGTAGGTTGACTGCTTCCACAAAGTGGCTTTACTGCTTCGAAAAAACTTCAATGACAAAGTGTGGCCAAGATAGTGACTATTTGAATTGCAGTGATGAAGTAGAATGGGCACCAGGTAAACCACTGTCTATCACCACCCAAAAGATTGGTGGTAAAGGGGTATGTCTTATATGAGTGACTGATTTATGTGATGTTTATTTGTGGTTTTGTAGGAAAACATCAACAACTGGTAATATTTCTTTTATCCCCTCTGGGATAGTGCTCCCACAAATACAATCACATACTGTGGTGATAGGCAAAAAATTTGAATCAAGTCTGGGTGAGAGGCAAGCTGTGGTGTTCTTAGTGGAAAGTCATTCTGCCACAACTGGTGATTGCAAATTCCACATTCATTGGTTCATTCACATTGCTATCAATTATTATTTGAAAATAATTCTTAGAAATGGAAGGTGAAATGTAAATTTGCATTGGTGACTGCTGGTTATTCCAAAACAACACATATGTTGGTCACTACTTGTGAATGTACTTTGACTCAATCCTTGTTGATTGCTCTTGAAGATCAGCTATTTGTTTAATTGTAGATCACTTGTCACCACACCACTGATTCACCACCCCCCTATTCACTTGACACTGGTCATATTTCAAAAACATGTATATACAACTTGTCATATCCGTAAAACCCATGTTCCAGTCCCTAGTGCTGATATTTCAGATTGCCTAGATATTGGTTATACCTTCTAATACTTACATTCTTGGTGGTTTTCATAATACATTTCACCCATTGTAAGAACAATGGGTGAAAGGGGATTAACTAGTGCCTTAAGATGTGTGTATACCCAAAATAATGCATACTTTTGTCAACACCTGTGATATCAAGCTACTGACTGTTTTTTATTCCTCCTTGAGAGAACCTGGTTTGTTCAATTATATTAAATAATTCCCAAGAATATCAAACTAGTTCTTAACTGCTCATCCAACCTAAAGCTTAATAGTCATGGTGAAAAGACAGAACCACTGAAATTTGGAGTTGATTCAGAAAACCTTGCTCCATGATGTTTACTCCAAAGAAGCTTTTTGATATTTAAGAGAGTCTGCATTCAGGGGGAAAGACTTGATTGTTTGTTTATTGCAAAAACATTATCCTGCTATGTACCTCCATTAGTAAACACTGAAAACACCTTTACCCTGGCCTTTGTAACCAAGGGAAAGGCTACATGTGAGGTCTTTCTGGACAACAGTTGCATTCAATTCAGGAGAAGAACAGGACAACAGTTGCATTCAATTCAGGAGAAGAACATACGATCCTGCCTCAATATCCTTGGCCAGCTGGACACAGCTTTCATTCCTGTAGAAGAACATAGAATCCAATGTGCCACAATATCCTTGGCAAGCTGGACCACAGCCACTGGACCCTCATCTGACCATGTATTCTTTGTGTTGGGCTGACACTCATTCTTTAGTCAGCCCAACACCCACAAGGGTCAAAACATGGACCACTTGAGTCACACCTCAACAAACCTGCATGTGCCCACTTAGCTGCCAAGTGGGCACAGAAGATGAGATATTCAATAAATAAGGCAGTTCACGTTCCAGCCAAACCTCTGCTGATGCAGCTTAAGGTTTGCTTGCTGATGCACCAACCGGATGAACTTTAAATATGGGATTTTGAATCCAAAGGGGGACCTCCCACTAAACTATTTTGGTTTCCCATAAACCTTAAAACAGCTATTCCAGCAAAGTTCGACTGCTGATTTTGAAATCAGCAGTACGTGAACCCCCTTAATATCTGGTTGATGATGATGATGGAATTGAACCCAAACAGATCAATACACCCCAAGTTTTCAAATTATTGGATTTGGCTTCTACTCAGGAAGATCACACCAAGGTTTGTGAATTGTATCTGATCAAGCAGAGGTTTATGAATTGTATCTCCAGACAAAGCTTTTTTGTTTTTTGAACTCTCCTCTTTCTCATGACAGCCACAAGCAAACATTGGGGAGATTGATGTTGACATTCAGTCCATGCTGGCTGGTACTCAAAGATCTTCACTTCCTCTGATGAGAAGATTTAATGAACATTCACAAAGATTATTGGATTCATCACTGTTAGTGGAAATATTCTCACATCAAAGGGCACCAGGTTGAATTTTCATGTTGGGCTGACAGTCCTTAGTCCTTCTTCTGTCAGCCAACACCCCCCACTCAAAAATCCACCTCGGTCATCCTGGCTCAACAATCCCCCTTTTTTTTATTATGGGCTGGGATTGCCAATCGGGTAGTCAGCCAAAAAACTTGAAGACTGCAAATATCATCGTCATCAATCCTGCATGAAGATATCTCATCTCCCAGGGGCAATGGCCGAAGACAAAGAACTGGACAAGGATCATCATGAGCAAAGTCTTGGGAGGGACCATGACCCTGAGAATGATCTAATGCGGACCAAGCCACCACTGGCCAAGCTCCAGAGGGTGACAACAAGAAATCTAGAAGTCGAGATAGAGAGCGCTGCAGAGATAGTGAATGGGAGAAAACCAAAGAACGGTCAAAAGACACAGACAATTGTGATCATCCAAGCAGCGCTTTCAGCTGACAATACAATCCAAGGAAACTATCTACTTTCGGGATTATGAGTCCCACGCTCCCCTCAGCTCCCCACTTGGCAGCCACTCAGCTGCCAAGTGGGCAATCAACGTTTGTTGACCTCCTGCTTCCGTCCCAACACCCTAAAAACAAAACCAAAGTATTATTGACGTTCACCTCATCACCTCATTGACCTCATCGTTGATTTCAGGCCGTTTGGTGAGTACCCCCCCCCCCCTTCTCCAAGTGGGCATGAACACCTGTAATTGGCTGTGGGCTCGGCTGACCAACCCTTTCAACAGGCTCGAAAACACC